TGAACCAGGAAGAAATAGAAAACCTGAACAGACCTATAACCACTAAGGAAATTGAAGCAGTCATCAAAAATCTCCCAACAAACAAAAGCCCAGGGCCAGATGGCTTCCCAGGGGAATTCTATCAAACATTTAAAGAAGAATTAATACCTATTCTTCTGAAACTGTTCCAAAAAATAGAAATGGAAGGAAAACTTCCAAACTCATTTTATGAGGCCACCATTACCTTAATCCCAAAACCAGACAAAGATCCCATCAAAAAGGAGAATTACAGACCAATATCCTTGATGAACATGGATGCAAAAATTCTCACCAAAATACTAGCCAATAGGATCCAACAGTACATTAAAAGGATTATTCACCATGACCAAGTGAGATTTATCCCTGGGCTGCCAGGCTGGTTCAACATCTGCAAATCAACGTGATACAATACATTAACAAAAGAAAGAACAAGAATCCTATGATCCTCTCAGTAGATGCAGAAAAAGCATTTGACAAAATACAGCATCCGTTCTTGATCAAAACTCCTCAGAGTATAGGGATAGAGGGTACATACCTCAATATCATAAAAGCCATCTATGAGAAACCCACAGTGAATATCATTCTCAATGGGGAAAAGCTGAGAGCTTTTCCCCTAAGGTCAGGAATGCGGCAGGGATGTCCATTCTCACCACTGCTATTCAACATAGTAGTAGAAGTCCTAGCCACAGCAATCAGACAACAGAAATCAAAGGCATCCAAATCAGCAAAGAAGTCAAACTCTCACTCTTTGCAGATGATATGATACTGTATGTGGAAAACCCAAAAGACTCCACCCCAAAACTGCTAGAACTCATACAGGAATTCAGTCAAGTAGCAGGCTATAAAATCAATGCACAGAAATCAGTGGCATTCCTATACACCAACAACAAGACAGAAGAGAGACAAATCAAGGAGTCGATATAGGGATGGGGTGGCTGGATGACAGACATTGGGGAGGGTATGTGCTATGGTGAGTGCTGTGAATTGTGCAAGACTGTTGAGTCACAGATCGGTACTTCTGAAACAAATAATGCAATATATGTTAAGAAAAAAAAAAAGAAGAAGATAGCAGGAGGGGAAGAATGAAGGGGAATAAGTCAGAGGGGGAGATAACCATGAGAGACGATGGACTCCAAAAAACAAACTGAGGGTTCTAGAGGGGAGGGGTTTGGGGGGATGGGTTAGCCTGGTGGTGGGTATTAAAGAGGGCACGTTCTGCGTGGAGCACTGGGTGTTATGCACAAACAATGAATCATGGAACACTACATCAAAAACTAATGATGTATGGTGATTAACATAACAATAAATAAAAATATTAAAAAAAGATAAATGATAGTATATTACACTAAGGGATTGTTATGCAGCTGTTAAAAATGCATACTGTAGCAATATTGGAGAATGCATGTCAAATAATATTGACAGAAAAAAGAGAACAAAATGGTGCATTTATCATTGCTATGGATATGTAAAAATGTGGGTAAGAAAGGATAATCTTTGCAGGAGAATATTAATGAATTGTGTTAAATGATTATGAGTGTGTCTTTTTTCCCCTTTGAAAATTTGCTCAATTATTGAAATGTTTGTGGAATTAAAAGAATAACGGTATGGAAATTTTATTTCTTTTCCTTGGTCACTATTAAATTAGAGCCAAAAACTATTAAAAGAATGAGTGAATAGTCTTTCTAGGCATATTGTATTGTAAAGTTTCAGTGTCAACTTTTAACAGTTACTTTTATCGTAAAGTAGAAAAAAGTCTTGGCAGCTTAGAACAGGGCATCTATCATTAAAATTACTATGATATATATATACATTAGTAACATAAGATACAGATATACAGGGCCTTAAAGAAAAGCCAAGCTTCAAAGGGTAGGACTATTTATAATGTGATTTCTCTTTATTTTAGAACTGATAGATGTCACATGCACCCTGCTGCTTCTAAACCCAGACTTTACCACTGCATGGAATGTAAGGTACGTCATTCTCATCAGTGATCAAATGAAATTGTCCAAATTTCTGAAAACGTATAAACCCCATTGTTTGAGGTACCCATGAGTTGTTATCTTTTTGAAAAATGAAATATAAACCATGTATCTATGGCATTTTATGCTTATTTCTTCTACCCAATTTTTATAATATCTCTGGGACAATTCTGACTTACACTTAGCTCCTTTGTACATGTTTCTGTCTTTTCTCCATAAACTTTCCTGTCTGAAATAGAAATTATCATTGCAAATTACAGTATACCATTTGTTTTTATTTTCCTTCCTTTTTAGAGGAGTAGGGGCAGCTAGTATAATTGGTTGGTTTGTAAGGCATTGGTTTATATATTTGTGAAGTGCAGTGGGAAGTATGTAGGATGAGAATTCAAGGCTATGACCTTTTAGTCTCAGTTTAGTCACTAACACTGTGACCTCTGTGGGCCAGTCACTTGAAGTCTCTGGCACTCAGTATTTTAGGAAGGGATCATATTTTATTAATATCTTAGTTCCTTAATCTAGTTATTTTAGCTTTAAACACAAAATGCTTTATAAAAATACCAAAGTTGAGACCAGGTTCATTTTTTTTTTTCATTGAAGTTTTTTCAGTTGAACGGTATGTATGTTTTTTGTTTTTTTTTTTTAAATGGTGGTCTCTTAGACTAACACAAATTCTCCTAGAGGAAAGGAGAGGATAAAGTTCTAGATAAATAATGAAGTCCTGTTGAACACTGAATACATTTTAAATTTTCCTATAGGAGAGAGCCATAGATTATGGTTCTTAATCTTTAAAGATGACTTAAACAGTACTTTATTCAGTTTTCTGTGTATTTTAAGCAAGGTTACATTCTGAGTTAGTGTTCTATGATACCTACTGAATTTTGTATCTACCTACTGATTTTTAAAAATTAGGCAACTTCTATTACATGTCTTTTTAAGTCTTTTGAATAATTGATGATCACATATTTAGAGTAAGGAGTAAGAGAAGTATAGAATGAGATACAAGGCTTTAAAATTTACATGATTTTAGAATTCTGATTTTTCTTTTATGGAAAGCACCACCACAGGTAAGGAAAAGACTAATGTTCATGAGTGGCTACTGTATTGTAGGGACATATTACAGCTTTATTCATGATCTCACTTAATCCACGCAATACTTGACAGCATTTGTTCATTTATCAAATATTTATTAATTGCTATCTGCTGAATTCTAGGCACTGGAAATAGAACTATGAACAAAACCCTGTCCTTGTGGAATTTTTATTCTACTAGGGGAAGAAAAGAAACAAAGACATTACTAAATAAAATATACATTCGATCAAGTGGTGGTTAAATCCTGTGGAGAAAAAGTGGGACAAGAAAGTTGGGAAGACCAGAGAGAGAGTGGGAAGAATAGTATTGCAGTTTTACATAGGGGACATCTGAGCAAAGACTGGCCTGATTTGGGGATCAATCTGTGGGGTCTGGGGTAAGAGCATTCCACGCAGAGGGAATGGGAGCAAGTGGGAAGGCTCTCAGTGGTGCTGAAAGTGTTCCTTGGTGTTCTGGGACAGCAAGACAGCCAGTGCCCAGTGTAGCTGGAGTAGCGGGCATGAGGAAGAGAGTCATGGACCAGACCTCATGGGCTTTGTCGATCTTCCTACACTGCTGGAGGAACTTGGACTGCTACTCGGAGTGAGATCGGAAGTCATTAAAGCTGAGGAGGGACAGTCTCTCACTTAGGTTTAAAAAGTCTAGGTCCTGTGGAAAGTAGACTGTAGGAGTGCAGGGAGGGGTTAGGAAGTTAGGTAGTGGTTGTGGTAATTTAGGTGAGAGATGCTTGTGTGACTTGAAGTCTAACTTAGCAGTAGAAAAGGTGAGAAGTAATGATTCTCACTGTATTTTAGGAACTATATAAGCTTTGACTGTATTTAATAAACCAATTTTAAAGGCAGATTATGAACTAGATGCAGGAAGGAGAAAGAAGAGGGTCAAGCTGGACTCTGGTGTTTGGCCCGAGCAACTGAAAGGATGGAGTTGCCCTTTACAGAAGGAGAGTCAGTCCTCTGTCTGGAAGAGGAGCAGACTGAGATGGGGAGTGCCAGGTGGAAGTCAGGGGCTCAGGTTGGGACAGGTTAGGTTTGTGTGCAGGAATCTAAAGTTGAAGCAGAAGTTCTAAGCCTGATAGAAATTTGGGAGTCACTAGAAAATGGGTGGTATTTAAGGCCATGAGATTGTTTGAGGTACCCATGTAGCTGTTGGAAAATTGGAAATTACATACATGGCTCACATTGGTGATTCATATTATATTTCTGTTGGACAACACTGTTCTAGAGTTTGTGCGATGAGGAAGAATCAGCAAGGGAGACCTTTAGGAGGGTGCTATGAACTTATAACTGAGAGCTTTCTTAAGGGTAGGGATCATGTCTTTTTATTTTCCTTTGTTTTCCTAGCATCTAGCCTTCTAGTGCCTGGCACGTATTCAGTTTGCAAACTGGGCACTGGAAATAATTAAGTTCAGTGAAAATGAAATGAGGGTAATAGAGAAGTAGGAGTACCATTTTTATTCATGTTCTCCAATTCCTCATTATTATAGAGGACTTGAAAAATCCTTCAACAAGAAACGATTCTTACTAGTATAATACATGCATATGTAATCATATATGCATACATATATACACGTATGTGTATATATATGTAATTTATTATATATTTTATAGGGCGGCTCAATGTAGGAGAAAGAACCTAGTCTTCAGATATGTGGCTCTTTGTCCTTTTTCGTTAATTAACTAGCAGTTGACTTGAGGCAAAAGCTTTAACTTCAGAGCAGCTTTAGTTTCTATATCTGTGAAATAAAAGGTTTGACCTAGGTAATTTTTTTATGATTCCTTTCAAACTGTTTTGTGATTTTCTGTGGTTTGGTTGTGTAAAGGGAAAATTGCTGCATAGTCTAACTTCAGTGATATTCACAGCAGTTGATTTTGAAAAGTATTCTGGTAAGATTAATAAAGTTTTGTGCTGGGGTGCCTGGGTGGCTCAGTCGTTAAGCATATGCCTTCGGCTCAGGTAATGATCCCAGAGTCCTGGGATCGAGCCCCATATCGGGCTCCCTGCTCCACGGGAAGCCTGCTTCTCCCTCTCCCACTCCCCCTGCTTGTGATCCCTCTCTCACTGTGTCTCTGTCAAACAGAATCTTTAAAATAAATGTTTTGTGCTAGATGAATAAAAAGGAAACCTTGATTTTTAAAAAGATCCATTGTGGATATGTATTCTAGTAAGTTTTAATTTGTATTAGTAAAATTAATTAACATGAACACATAGAATCAGTAGTACATTTTATTCAAAAACCACCAGCTTTGGAAGTAAATTGGTCTAACCTTATAAGATCTCTCGCAAATCAAATACTTAACACTTCATGTTTAATTGTTGGTGTGTTTTTTCTGCAGTAACTGGGAAGCATTGAGTGATTTTTAACTGTATTTTATAAACTGTTAAAAGATAGTGTTAATACATCAGTTGTTCATTTTATAGGTGTTGTGGTTTTAGGGAAAAAACAGATGCAAGAATAGGTTTTTGAGTTGATTTCCTGTAATTACAGTGAGTGATGGGTGATGGATATACTTTTAAAAATCTACCTGTTATAGAAAAATTTGGTACTTTTTTTGCTTTGAAATTCAGTGTCTTATTTTGTGAAAGAGCTTGACTTCATAACAGTGTCCTATTTTTTCCGTCAGTCTGTGAACACAGAGTAAGCAAAACCTCTTTGAGTAACTAAAATAGCTAACACCAGGCTTCAGTAATCATGTCCTTTACTCATAGCCTATTACAATTGGTGACTTTCTTTTATGCAGATTTGATGTTTGGTTCTGGCACTTTGAGTTCACAGACCTTGAGTATAAGTTACTAATTCTCCCCCAGCTTCAGTTTTCTCATCAGTAAAACTGAGATAATACTAGGTTGTGCCATATGAAAATTGTTGTTTTTATAAAACAAAAAGAATTCAACCTAAGCATCCAGATCCTGGTGTCTTATGCCATTCTTTAATAAATGGAAATAGGCTTCTTGAGGAAATGTCTGATTCTAGGACCAGGGCAGGAAATCTGTAAGATTCGTCTGGAACATCTCAAAGAGCCAGAAAGTAAGGAAGTACTCAAAAAACAAAATGATGGAACTATGTCAAAGGGCTTCTAGTGGCCAAAGCTGGAACAGTTTGAACAGTAAAATAACATAATACTGGGTTATACCCTAAAGTGTAAAATGGATGTTCATACTGACATAAATAATTGAAGAAGCAAACAAACAAATAGTAGACAACAGACAATTCTCTCATATAGAAGGATTCTAAATAATTTATCTAGGCAACCCCCTTCAAGGAGTTGGAGTCCAGCTCCCTTCCTCCTTAAGTGTAACTTCCTTCCAAAAAGTACGGTGGAGAAACTGGACACAGACCATCTGAGGTAATCAAGGTCAGCATCAGCAGTGACAAGTCATGCTGTATTTTGTGCCCCTGATATGATGTGATAAAGATGACACTTTTGTGATCTCTTCCTCCTCAAAACCCTTGTCTAACCATAAGAAAAACATCATACAAAATACCTGATTAGTACTCATAAAATGGCAAGGCATATCTGAGGAGACATAACCAAATATAATGTGATATCCTAGATAGGATGCTGGACTAGAAAAAGGACATGTGGTAAAAACTAAGGAATTCTGAATAAAGTATTGACTTTCAGCAGTAATGTACTGGTGATGATTCATCAATTGTGACCAAAGTACCATAATAATATATTATTAATAAGGGAAGCTGGTACAGGGTATATAAGAGTTCTCTATACTATCCTTAACAACCTTAGTGTGAATTTAAAACAATTCCCAGATTAAAACTTTAAGATTTTTATTTATTTATTTTTTAAGTCATCTCTCTACCCAGTGTGGGGCTCAAACTTACAACATGAGATCAAGAGTCTCATGCTCTACCAACTGAGCCAGCCAGGTGCCCCAAAAGTTTATTTAATGAAACAAAAAACAAAAACAAAACAACAATTGGGTATCGGCAATTTCATATATTTCAACATAATACAGGATTGTTTTGAGGATTAGATTAGATAATATATGCAAATCACTTAACACAGTGGCTGATTCAGGAGAAGTTTTCAGTAAATGGTAATTTTTATGAAGATGACTCTTATTATTTCAGACAAAATAAAGATTCAGGGGGGAAAAAAGATGGCATTTGTTTATTCAGTCATACTGTGTTCCAAGTACTGAGCTAGCCAGTGAAGATTTAACCATGGACAAGATACACATAGCCCCTGGTTTCCTACAAATTTTAAATCAAGTGACAGCAGAGAGAAACCATAATTAATAGCCTGAGATAGAGAAAAGACAGAAAAACTTAAAAAAATAAGATAAACCAGGGGCACCTGGGTGGCTCAGTCGGTTAAGCGTCTGCCTTCGGCTCAGGTCATGCTCCCATGAGCCCCTGATCGGGCTCCTTGCTCAGTGGGGAGCCTGCTTCTCCCCCTGCTTGTGTTCTCTCTCTTTGACAAATAAATAAGTAAACTTTGTAGAACTAGAAAAGCCTTCATGTAATATGCCACAACAAGGTTGCACATAGAGCATGGCCTCTTCCCTACTACCCCCTCCTCTTTACAGCACGACACACGTGGCCTTTTCCTTTCCTGCGTACTTCTCCCCCACATTTATTTGACCTTTGTTTTATTCCTTCGTTCTCTGTTTGCAGTGTATCACCTAAGGCTTTCAGGATGAATCTCAAAGCCCAGCTTAGTCAATGTGCCTGAAAATAAAGCCACCTCAAATTTAGGGCAGTACTCGACTTCCTCAATAAGAAAAGTTCAAGAAAAGATTTTTAGGCTAATAACAATATGTAAATTTAAAGGTATGTGCATGAAATAAGTAAATGTCTTAATATGATACTTTTTTTAAATTTAGTTACATACCTGTAAAATAACGTGAAGTATTTTAATTATTAGTTTGTCATTTTCTTACATTTCATTAAATAATTTAATTCAAATGTCTCACATGGCTTATTGATACCAGTGACTTTGTCATCACAAGAGTTATTTTTTTCAACTTATCCAGCCTTTTTCCAGAGCACATTCTGTGTCCATATATCTAGCTTGTTTGAGATACATATAGCACTTGTTGAATCCATGTGTGACTGAAATTTTTCTCAAGATAGATCCCTACTTGAATGCATTCCAGTAGTTGATTTTCTTTTATTACATCTCTTGTTTAAAGTGATAGCTATAACGTAATCATTTATTATATTCCTTTTTCAAGTGATCTTTAAAAATTTTGTTTATGGGGTGCCTGGGTGGCTCATTTGGTTAAGTGTCTGCCTTCGACTTGGATCATGATTCCAGGGTCCTGGCATCAAGCCCCACATCTGGCTCCCTGCTCAGCGGGAAGCCTGCTTCTCCCTCTGCACCCTCATCCCGCTTGTGCTCTCTCTCAAATAAATAGATAAAATCTTAAAAAAAAAAAAAGGTGATTTTAAAAAAATTTTGTTTATGGTAATATTCAACATCTACAGTGTTCAGTCCTGTCCCCAGGAATGTTTATTAAATTGATATTTAAATTTTGCTGCCTTTTTTATGATTCTGTCAGGTAACCTTTTTAAGCATCCACATATACCTTTGATTGGGGTTGTTTTGGGCTAAGATATCTTCCCAAATATGTTGTGCAAAATAAATTAAGAGAGCACCCCTAGGGGCATGTGGGTGGTTCAGTGGGTTGAGCGTCTGACTCTTGATTTTGGCTCAGGTCATGATCTCAGGTTGTAAGATGGAGCCCTGCATCCGGCTCCATGCTCAGTGTGGAGTCTGGTTGAGATTCTCTCTCTCCCTCTCCCTCTGCCCTTCCCCCTGCTTTCTCTCTTTCTTTTTCTCTCTCTCAAAATGAATAAAATCTTTTTTTTTTAAAGGAGCCCTAATTGAAGAAACTTTTTAAAGATTCAGGTATAAAGTGGCTCCTCTTTTCTGAAGAAAATTTTGACTATTTCCCCATAGATATATATGGGAGTATAGGTAGGCAGTTGTAGTAAGGAGAGGTTTTAAATTTAGTAAATGGAAATTAGGCTTAATATAGTAAATTATGTACCATAGAGGTTTTTAAACTTTGGTGTACATCACCTAGAGCACTTGTTCAAACACATTGCTTTGTCACTAGTTTTTGATTCAGCAGGTCTGGGATGAGGCTTGAGAATCTGTATTTCTTACAAGTTCCAGATGATGGTAATGTTGCAGTTAAGGACCTTACTTTGAGAAACACTGCATTACAAAGAAGTTAAAATTATACAGAATAATATTTTGCCTCCTTTGAACACTATAGGTGTCATGACTTACTGTATAATGAAACATTACTAATTTCCAGAAGAAGAATGATGCAGGACTGCAAAAGTAATTGGCTGTTGCATTAAATCCTCTTTCAGCGACACACAGGCTTCCTGTGCATTGAAAGAAAGATAGCCAATAAACCCATTTGTTAAAGTACTCATAAACCTTCTCAGTATCACTTGAAATTATATCCTGGACTGAAGTGCCTGACCTAAAATGATCGTAAAATACAAATATTTGTCATCACTGTTCAGTATTTTCACTAAAAAGAAAGTTATTTTCCTTATCAAATAAAAATCCAGAAATGGCACATTGCTGTTGGAAAGAAAATGCATGGTGGTGATTAGGAACTAAATTCATCTGAGTAGGTGAGGTATACGATCTGGGCTCTCGTCTAATTGGAATTAAAGTTCTCTAAAATAAATGAGTTATCAACCCTACCACAGGAAGGACTTTTTAAGATTAATAAATTCTAGTAAATGATCTAATTTTATTATAACAGATAGATTGAAAATTCATTGGGAGTATAATTAGTAAGAGCAGAGCTTATTATCAGAAACTTAGCTGAGAAATTAAAACCTAAATCGTATTTACTTGGGAAATAGTAGGTGGAGAGCTCTTGCATGACGTTCTTCATAATTACATGGGAGCTTTGAACACTTTGAAAACAGCAACAAAAACCTGACATTGCTCTTTTATTTGTATTTCAAAAAGAAATGGTCTAGTGTCTCAAGGGCCATGCAGGTAGTTCACCTGGTAATAACATCTTTTGGGAACTTCCCTAAGTAGCAGAAATGAAAGACATCTTAAGCACAAAGATCTGTTTCAGAAAAGCAAAAACTTGGAAGCAACCTAAATGTCTAACCAAAGAGGAAAAGGTCATTAAACACAGAATAGCCACTCAGTGAAAACTACTTGACCGACTTAAATGTTCGCTTTAAAGATTATGTAGCGTCATGGAATAATTCTTAAGCTGTAAAGTAGAATATAAAATTATATGTTAAAATGTATATGCATATGAGGAAGGACAGAAGGGAAAATTGAAAAATAAAAATAGTAATTTTGTTAGGGTAGTGAATGATTCTTTCCATCTTAATCATGCTGTGTGTGTTACTCTTTATGTATTTTTTGGTAATGAATCATATCATGTCCAACTTGGGAAGTTAGAACAATTCTTGACTAGTACTGGATCCGCCCTACAGATGCTGATGTCAGGCCTTTTAAGTTTTAGAAATGAGACAAGCCAGAAAACCTCTCTTTGCCCTTTCCCAAATAGGTAACTAAAGTTCCACTATTGCTTTTAAGAGCTTCTGTTTCTGCTTATTAATCCTGTTACTTCAAGATTACAAGAATACATTCTTGATTACTGTGTGTGATACTTACGAGAGTTTCATGTTTTATTTTTTTTCTTCCCAGTGAGATTATGTTAATAGCCATGCAGTATGTTTGGATGGAAAGGTAGAATAATGGTTCTTTTCATTTTTCTTTTACAGAAAAGAGCTCATCCTCTCTGGCACTTTAAATCCAATTAAGGACTTACATCTGGGAAAACTGGCCTTAACTAAATTTCCAAAGAGTCCAGAAACATGGATTCACAGGTGTGGTTAATTTACACTATAGGATTCTTAGGATTCAGAGTGGCTGGAGAAACAACAGTGTCAATCAGGGTCACATACTGGTTCAGAGTATGAATTCTAAAGTTACCTACTTTTTAACTCCAGATGCCATCACTTGTTCCCTGTGTGACCTTCAGAAATGATTTAAGCTCTTCAAGCCTCAGTTTTCTCATTCATAAAATGGGAATAACAATCACACCTATTTCAGAGTTAATGGTTGGCTTTACATGAAATAATGTATGTTAGCACTACCACGGTGCCTGGCACATATTAAATACTCAGTAAATTTTAGCTTTATTGTTCATTATGAACTATCTGAGCAGTCATAGAAATGGCATTTAGATAGTCAACTATAATGAGCAACTTGGGTTTTATAATTAATTCAGGTGTGTTTCTGGTATAGATGGTTGTAGTTATTAAAATTAACAAAATAACAATGATAAAGGTAGCTGAGGCGAGTGGTGTATAGGCTGCGCTGAAGTTGCTAAGACTGTAAATGCAGAGAGTATTTTTAGGTTAAAGGCCTGAGTCAGCCAAAATGCACGTGAAAACTCTCCTCACCATCCTGGCTCTCTGGAGCATATTCCTCGTGGACTCCATGGAACTATCCAGTTTTGACTAAAATGAGATAGTGTGGGCTGGTGGCTTCTTGGGGTCAGTGGGGAAATTCTTTAAGAAGTCTGTTTTCAGTTTTTACTAAGCCACTTACAACTTTTCTTAAATCCTGAGCGTTTTTAGGATCTTAGTTCAGGGTATCTTTACTGTAATCTTGGCTTTGGCTAGCATTGCAAATCAGCTACTTCCATGCTGGATGTTTTTTCTTAGTAGGAATTGAGATAGCACTTCAGAGAGGACTGTGGTTGCGTGTGTGGAGGTTTGGAAAGGACTGGTGGCAGGGGAGGGCAGTATTGAATATGCATTCACCAATTTATAAGCTTATCTAATATTTTATATATAAAGCAAGCTTTTGTTTTATAAGTTAGGTAAAAAACTTCTATTTGAAAAGGACAAAATGAGTTTTCTTACTCAATTTCTAGTAACCTTTGGGTTGGAAATTTTTAGTCTAAAATGCCTTTTATGAGAAAATATTTGTAAAAAACTAACCACATTAAGTGGTTAGAGATGCTTTTTTAGTGCCTTTCGTTTAAATAAGTATGCTAATGAAAATCTTAAACAGACAAGGGAAAAATTTGTGGATAAAGACATTTAAAACCTCCTGATGGTTTTAACTAAATATATTGTATTTGTGTCCTTCCAGATTCTATGCTATAACATAGAAATTCTGCTTAATGAAAGCAGTCATAATGCAGCTTCTTGTTTGCAAGCAAATACACATAGGGTGAGGCATGCACATGTAATTAAAGGTGTGAACCATGACTCCTTTTCTAGTATTTACCAGCCATTAATTAATATCCCCTCCACCACCACCACTGCAAACCCCCCTCCATGTACACACCCTGTCTTTGCATTTTCTGGCCAAATGGAGTTTTTGAGCTGTCATACTGGAACTGAAGCATTCTCTTTCTCATAAATTTTAATGTTTTAGAAAGGTTTCTCTTTCCTGTTTGTCCTTTCTTCGCCCTCCTCCCCGTCAGTGGTGCTGAAATTTAATGACATCTTTAACAAAAACAACAGAATAATCCCACTCCCCCCAAATTGAGCTCATAGACAGGGATTAGTTTGCATTGTATGGGTGGAGATTGAGAACAAAGAAAACTGGTTGTTTTCCTCTCTGGTTTATGTTCTTCCCTCATTCTCATTCCCACGTGTACCTTCGCAGGCGATGGGTGCTACAACAGCTAATTCAGGAAACTTCCTTGCCTGCCTTTGTGACGAAAGGAAACCCAGCAGCAATTCCTGCAGAGAGGACACAGAGACTGGTCCGAGAAGAGATGGAGGTCTGTGGTGAAGCGGCGGGGAGATACCCGAGCAACTACAATGCCTGGTCCCATCGCATCTGGGTTCTCCAGCACCTGGCGAAGCTGGACGTCAGGGTAAGGCCACGCTTCGTCTCCCGAGGCACAGTCCCTGTCTGCCCTTTAAGTCTTCTGATAGTAGCTCCTCCTCAGAGGAGCTTTGAAGGAGGAAAGTAGAGGAGCTAATGGCCCAGCAGCCTGGGGAGGAGCTAGCAGCTGATACTTCCAGGGAAACCCTGGCAATTTAAAAAAAAGGTTGCATTCCTCACCAGCGCGGTTTCTGGCACTCTTCAGGTTAGTACATTGTAGAACGAAGGCAAGTTTAAGCAGTAAGAAGATGGAGCGTAATTCATTTTGCCCCAGAATAGGAAGGTGTTATGAGGCCTTGTAGCATTGGAGTTGTTCTTTCTTGGTGGGCTCTGGTTATGGGACTTAATGTGCTCCATCAGCCGGCTGCCTTCTCACCGTCCCCTCTCCTGGGGAGGGAAGAGAAGATCTCACCTGGTATTCCCAAACTTGCCTTCGTCTATAAATGACCTTCGGATTTTGGAGTTCCCACCCCAGGCCTACTAAATTGGGGAAAGGGTAGGATTTAAGGAAAACACTTTTCACAGGGCTTGGGGAGTTATCTGGAGGCAGAGCTGGGTTGGAAGGAATGGGGTGCCTTCACTTACTATTCATCGGGATGAGAACCAGGTATCCTTTGGCTCCTTCTTATGTACTATAGCTTCTCTCTATTTTTCTTCAGTTCTTACGTTTAAGTGCCATAAGAATGTAGGGTACTGCTCTGAAAGCTTCTCAGGCTTGAGACAACTTAAAGGGGTCAAAATACCTTAAGTGGTATTTTCAGATTAATTGGGAAGAACTCTTTCGTTTTGCTCACCAGCCCCTTCCTCCATCCCCCTTCCCAGGTTCCCTCTCCCCTCTCTGTGTCCTAGCCAGGGATTCCTCCAGGGTAAATTAAGAGTTTTCATTTCTGGGGACTTTTAAGCCAACAGTTCTGAAAGAGTAGCGCTTCCCGTCCAGTTTATATTGGCTTTGTGTTTCTGGATGGGAGTCCCCGTGATGGAGTGGAAAGAGCAAAGACAGAATCCTCCTGACCTGGCTTCAGATTTTGGCCTCACTAGCTATGTGTGGAAAAGCTTTCATGTTGTGAAATACCAGCTCCACTGTCTGCCTCAGTGGATTATTGTGAAGATTATTTGAGTTAATGTGTGCAAAGTACTGGGCACCTAATAGAGGCTCACTAAATTTTAGTTCCTTTCTCTGTTCCTCACAGATAGAAAGTTTAGGTGAAACTGACTCCCAGTTAGCTCAATCAACTCAATATAATTTATCCATGAAAAAGTACTGAAACTCTTTCATTCCCAGACACTGCCCTGTATGCTGAGTGTGGCATAATGACCAAGAGATTGCTCTCAACAAATTGAGAATCTAGTTGAGGGAACAGATACGAACACTCACAAAGCAGTTTGACACTTGCAAGCGCTGAGGGAAGCTCAGGGGACAGTAGGAGCACAGAAATGGCTTCTCATCCCGGCTGGGCTCATTGGGAGCAGCTGCCAGAAGGAAGGCTGCCTCGTTGTTAGGAGTCCAAGTCATCTGGTGGGATGTGGGAGATAGGGAGTCCTTAGGGAGTCTGGTCATCTCAGCTCCACAACTTGATAGGGGAGAGGGGTTGGGAGGGGCATGGGGAGCATGGAGGAAAAAGAGAAAGGCGGAGTCCACGTGAGCTGAGCAGTCTTTGGAAACTTGCCTGCCTTGATGTGGACCTTTTAAAGTGGCATTCCCATAAAATCAGGAACACGGGGCCAAGGTGAAATTCTTGGTTTCTTGAGACTATCCAATGTTGAAGATAACAACTCATTAGTGGTGTGTTGACTCAGCTGCCTGAGTCTGCTACTAGGCTCACATGTTGTCCACCAGCTATGCCCTGCCCTTGGTTGAACTCCATGCCCTTCCTTTCCCCTCTGCTACTGCAGCTCTCTCAGTGAGAGTGCTGAATTTGCAAAATCCCCTTTCTGTTCTTAGAAGCCACTGGGCCCAGCTAGGAGATCATGCCCTACTATGCTTGTCTATTAGAGGAAGTAATCACAGAAGTACCACCCGTCTAAAGCAGCTTAAAAATACATATAAAATGAGCTGGCAGGCGCCTGGGTGGCTCAGTCGTTAAGTGTCTGCCTTCGGCTCAGGTCATGATCCCAGGGTCCTGGGATCGAGCCCTGCATCAGGCTCCCTGCTCGGTGGGAAGCCTGCTTCTCCCTCTCCCACTCCCCCTGCTTATGTTCCCTCTCTCGCTGTCTCTCTGTCAAATAAATCTTTAAAAAAAAAAAATGAGGGGCGCCTGGGTGGCTCAGTCGTTGGGCGTCTGCCTTCGGCTCAGGTCGTGATCCCAGGGTCCTGGAATCAAGCCCTGCATCGGGCTCCCCGCTCAGCGGGAAGCCTGCTTCTCCCTCTCCCACTTCCTCTGCTTGTGTTTCCTCTCTCTCTCTCTCTCTGTCAAAAAAAATAATAATAATAAAATCTTAAAAAAAAAAACTTTATTAAAAAAATGAGCTGGCATCTTTTTACTTAGGAAATTGAAAATGATTTTTTTTTAAGATTTTATTTATTTGAGAAAGAGACAGCACAAGCTGGGGGGAGGGGGAGAAACAGACTCCCCACTGAGCAGGGAGCCTGACGCGGGGCTCGATCCCAGGACCCCAAGATCATGACCGAGCCGAAAGCAGACACTTAACTGACTGAGCCACCCAGGCGCCCCGAAAAAAATTTTTTTTAAAGTACTTGTATCCAGCATTGATAAGGCTATGAAAACAAGCATTGTAGAAATTGGTGTAATCTTACTGAAGGACAGCATGGCAGCATTTATCAGACTCTATCAAAAAAGGTGTGTTCTTTCTAATCTAGTAGTTCTGCCTGTAGGAATTCATCCTAAAGAAATACTGGGAGATATAGTATGGTGCTGTAGTAATTAAAGGTTCCACTCAGTGGTCAGACAGACCTAATTTGAATCCTGACTGTACCATCCTTTCTCATTGAGCGATGTGAATTAAATGGGAAAATCCACGTAAAGTGGCCGTCAGAAGTGCTTGTACTAAGTGTTCAATAAACACAGGCTATTATATTAAATATGAAAGTTTGATATATGAAAATGCTCTTTATAATAGAACCACTCTAACCCTCCAGTAATAACAGACTAGTTACATTGCAGTTCATCACAAATTGGAATATTTTGTTGCTACTAAAAATTATATTTTGAAAGATTATTTAAAGAAAAAGTTCACTATAGGATAAGGATCTTTAAAACTAAATATGAGATGGTCCTAATATAGATTTTTAATATATTATTAGCTTTGAATGAGATTTTAAAGTGTTTAGAACAGTGCTTGGCATATTGTAACTGCTTAACATATATATACACACACACACACACATACAGTGCTATTACAGATATATTGGCTTGTGTTTTCCATAATAAACACGTATTCATTTTCTAGTCAAAAAAAAAAAAGAATAAAGAATTGTGAACAGTGCTAGAGGGTGGAATTACGACATCTTCATTTTCTGTTTTGTTTTCTATGGTGATTGTATGTTTTAGGTAGACATTTATTTAAGTAAATTTTAAAATAGTCTCATTTGTGAGGGTAGGGTGAGAGGAAAGACTCACATTTGAACAGAATTTATTACTACTAGCCAATTAAAAGTTGATAATGGTATGTCACCTGAGAAAGCACACAGGGCCATTTCTGCAAAAAAAAGACATACAGATGGCCAATAAAGACATGAAAAGATGTTCAACATCATTAGCCATAAGGGAAATGCAAATCAAAACCACAGTGAGATGATATTTCATACCAAGTAGGATGGCTGAAATGAAAAACAAGTTAATAACAGTGCTGACAAGGATGCGGAGAAACTGGAACCCTTAAACATTGCTGGTAGGAATGTGAAATGATGAAGACACTGTGGAAAACGATTTGGCATTTCCTCAAAAAATTAAACCTGGAATTACCACATATGACCCTGTGGTTCTACTTTTAGGTATATACCCCACAGAATTGAAAACTTGTTACAGCAGTGTTTGTAACAGCATAATTCATAATAGCCCCCCCCAAAAAGTAACAACTCAAACGTCCATTATCTGAGGAGTAGATAAATGCAGTGTGGTACATCCATACAATGGGATGTTATTCAGCCATAAAGAAACGAAGTCCTGATACATGGATGAATCCTGAAAACCTGCTGATGGAAAGAAGCCAGATTCAGAATGCCACATATTCTAGAATTCCATTTATAGGACATTCAGAATAGGCAGGGCACAGTAGTGGGTGCCAGAGGCTGGAGCGAATGGAGATTAGGGGACTCCTTACAGGAATAGGGGTTGTTTGGGAGATGATGAAAATGTTCAGAAATTAGATAGCAGTGATGGTGGCACAAGTCTGTGATTATACCGAAAATCACCAGTTTATTTTTCAACTTCAAAAATTGGTTCTAAAGTACATTAGAAAGAATAAAACTTCAACAATGAAGGAATGAGCATTTTCAGTAGTCTTTGATTTTAAACCTGTTAATCCTTCTGTGTCATAGCCCTGCTTCTGTAGTTCTCTTGTACTTATTTTTTCACTCATTCATTTTTTTATATGGAGTGTTGAAAAAGAATAATGGTATGTAAGTTCTATCATAGACAGGTCATTGATCCTGTCCATACCTTACAATTACACCATACTCAGCCTTATCTTTATGCAGTGACTTTAAGATCACTTTAAAAGTAATTGCTTTTTTTTTTAAATCATTGTTTATATCTCTATACCTTTGGATTCTAGTAAAAAATGCCCTGAAATTCCTGTTAAAGTTTCTTTTCTCATTTAGTATACCTATTAAATATATCAAGGGAAAAGAATATAGTGAATTTTTCTCTTAAAAAGTCCGAGAAAATTTTTTAAAGGAATTAAATTCATGTTGAAAATCTTTCACATATGTGCTATTTTTGTCTCAAAATTAAAATAATTAAAAGTTTTATGTATAGAAATATGCAGTAAGAAATAATCTAAAGGTTTTTCCTGTTATGGAAATTCCTTTTAAACATGTTTTGTACTCTTTCCAGTCCATATTAAGAAGCCCTACCAAAATTAAAAAGCTGATGTATTATTGCTTAAATGTCCTGCAGGTTAATTCTTCAAAGTATAATAACCTTAAGATTAGTATATATTTTTCTAAGGTAGAAGTTTATCTGGTGCTATTTTGCTCACCATTTTAATCAAATGAACAGTCTTGTTTTCCATTTCTCAGAGATTCACCAGCTCTGGAACAAACCTATTTGGCTTTGAATAAAGTCATTAGAATTTAAAGGAGATATTTAAAGCATTTCACTGATATAAATCGACTGTCTTTGCTGGGAGTAATCTTGTCCCTATGTACTAGTCACTTAATTCATTAAATTATTCATTTCACTCATGGATTCATTCATAAAATACTTACATATTCACTCTGATGCCATGGGGTATAGAATGATGGAAACATTAATTAGGAATGAATAAATATCTTAAACAACTTGTAGAATTTAGTGGGGATGAAAAGATGTACAGAAAATTCTATAATGTCTGGTAGAACACACAGGAACCATGGAGGTTCAGGAGAGGGAAAGATTTCTTCTATGGGAAGAGAGGAACTATGAGAAATGGAGGGGATCTTGGTACAAGAGAAAGCATTTACCTGGGACCCTTGAAAAGCAAGTAAAGGAGAAGCCCTTGGGCTTTGTGCTGTCTATACTATTCACTGCTGGCAAGTATATGTCTTTTTTCCATAGCTGGTCTGAAAATCCTCTGATGGAATGTGGTAGGCCCTCAATATAGCTTTTGCTGATCAGAATCCATTTGCATTTGCTACTTGTCCAGGACACTGCCAAATAATTTATTTTTTCATAACTGCTGCTTTTCTTTTTAATCATTCCATTTGAAGTTGCTTAGTTTGCAGGATTGATAATACAAAGACTTAATTCACTGCTTAATTTTGTCTCATCTACTTAAAAAAAATCATTTATCATTGATGTTAATTGAGTTTGAGATGAATAGGAAAATCATGCGCTCTTGCATCATATTTTTGTACTAAGCCCAAAACTGACCGTCTCTGCCCTCATGGCACTTATAGTGAAGAAATAATAATACATTGAGTCAGTTGTTCAACGCATAATAAGTTAGATATTGTAATGTTCATTAAAAGTTAAAGAAAGTTTATCAAAGTAACCTTTGAATTTATATTTTCTCTTCAATGTCAGCATTCTTGTAAATAAACACTCTAATGTTCATCATTATTTTAGAATAGCTTTTCTGTGTGTGTGCCCATCAGAATGTGATTGATCAAGGTCCAGAGAAAGAATGACAAATAAGTCCTTAAATTCTGTAGGGTGTGTATATGTATATATGTATATATATACACACACACACATATACACACACCTCTTACTACTTTATTAGGGAAAGGGGAAACTAGCCTTTACTGAGCTTCCACTGAGTGACAACACTGTGTTGGACATTGTATACAAAATATTGGTAGAAACAGTTTTACCAAAAAATACAAGGAACAAATTAAAGAGAAATCCAAAACATTAATGGAGAAAGAAATTCCTTTGGCAGTTCCTCTTCTCACTTCCCTTTTTTCTTCCTACAAGATTCTTCTTGATGAACTGTCTTCTACTAAACACTGGGCATCCATGCATGTTTCAGACCACAGTGGATTTCACTACCGCCAGTTTCTGTTAAAGTCTTTGATTAGCCAAACTGTGATAGATGGCTCTGTATCGGAGCAAAACCCTTTGAGAAGTGAGCCAGCTCTAGTTCTTCCAAAAGATGAAACAGCAGCTTCAACAGAGGAAGCAAGGATAAATCTTCCCTGTCTTCTAGAAGAAGAAGTTGAATTCAGCACTGATCTTATTGATTCCTACCCAGGACATGAAACCCTTTGGTGTCACAGGTAAGAGGAGGGAAAATCTCTTTTCTGCATGGAACTGCTTGGCTTTATGAGAGCTGCAGAAGGTCTTAAGTCTTACGCCTGCCTGCTCAGGTAAATATGGTAATTGATTGTGGAGCTTTGCCTGAATTCAGAGGCGTTTATGTTACCATATCTTCTTCCTCATGATCTTCAATATGAGGTTCCTCATGCAGAGATCTTTGCCTAATGCTTAAGATGGTGGTATTCAAGCTTGACTATCCCAACAGAATAGCCTGTGTTACTTCCAAACTGAAAACAAGTTTCTGGACTCCCTCCCTGGAGATTCTGGTATTTATAGTATACCTGGGGTAGAGCGCTGCCATTTAGTCTTTAAAAAACAATGAAGAAACTTAAAAGGTAAATTTGATGCAGAGTCGGGTTTAGACCATTGATTAGACCTTGAGAATAGTTAAGCTTATTGATGGTCTGCAAATGAAGTTTCCTTAAGTATAAGCTCTTGACACTTTTTGTTTTTTAAAGTGTGCTTTGGGAGGAGGGCAGGATTATTAGGAAGGAGTGAAAGAAATTAGCAACCTCATAACCTGAGTTCTGAGTACATTTGACAGCAAAGTAACTGTCATGTTGGAATGAAGTCCAGGTGTGGGAACCCCCTGATTGGTTCTTTTTTTGAGTCATCTCCATCTCTAAATACGGATTCTACTTCAGACTAGAGGATTCTATTTGTAAACAAAGGACTTGCCTGTGCCAGGCAGGAGGTAGGAAGTTTAAATATTTGTGTATTTTTAAAGTTGTTGAGATTTGCCCCCTTTTGCCAGTCTAGTCTAGGTTGTAGGCTATTTGAGGAGATGTGTTCAGCTGCTCTTCCATGCTACATGTCTTTAGAAGATGGAAGACCATCTCCCCTCTTTGGCACCTTCATAAAAAAATTTCTTTTTCTCATAAAAACAAGACACTCTTATTCCACATTTTCTAGAGAGAAGATCTTAACTTCCATGTTGTTTTGGTGTTAACAGATTTTATTGCTGTTCTATATTTAGGTACATCAGTAGCAAGACTGAGAAAATTTAAGAATTGTATTTGTGTGTAAGAGATAGCTAGATTAACAGAGCAGAAGCTTTGTATAAAGATTAAGTTTGGGGTGAGGCATGGGGAAAAGCAACAGTTGAGATGACCTGTAATTATACAGGCCACTTTTCTACTATTGAGTCATTGCCTTTAGGCACCTTATCTGTCCTTTAAGTTTTATCCTCTATAAAATGGGTAAATTATATGCTCCCTGTCTACTCCAGAATATGCTGGGAAAATGAACAGAATTATCTCTCGAGGGCTTAGAGTTGCTAATATGAATAATGAGATGGAACAACCTAGAATCTATGTGGTTTACCAGTTGTGAACAGTAGATGTGCACCCCCACTGAGTCAAAATTTTTGGAGATTAGGCACATAGATCTTCATTTTTAACAAAAAAATCTAGATGAGTCTAAGGGCAGGAGAACTGTGCTCCTTAGAGGAAGTACAAGGGCGGTGTCTTTTAAATGCTTTGCTCAGAGCCCAGCACATCCCTACTGCATGTAGATATTTAATGAGACTGTAGTGATGGATTTCGGGAAAAGTTCAGTTGGTTTTTAGATAATACCTGTTCTTATTAAAGAAAATACTAGATAGAGGCCATGGATTAAAAGCCTCTAGATGAGCTATTTAATCCCGTTGTTCCTGAATCACTTCTGTTTTAGGATATCAGTGAAGTTAATTTTTGGTTCTGTTTTGTTTTTTTAGAGCAGAAATTGGACTAAGATCGATTTCTCATTTTGTATTGTAGTTACAAAGAGTAACAATTCCAAGTGATTGTCATCATCTCAGTCAGTGGTATTAAAAAACCCTTGGGGTCGTGTGTAGGGTTCTTTCTCACAAACAATCCAGTAATCTGGGCTTGTAAGACTCTGGTCTAAATACACAGAGATTTCAGTGTAATTGCTCCTCCCCCTGCTCCAGGTAACTCTGGTCACCAAGGGGGACAGCAAACTGAGTACTGTATGTCTTGAAATTATCAACTTATTATTATTGTTTTTTTCCCTGAAAAGCTTGACTTCGTGATACTGAGTTTTCTTTTCCGTGTTCTCTTCCTCCCCCCTCCTCCTTCACAGGCGGCACGTTTTCTACCTTCAGCATCACTTAAGTGGTAGGTTTCCTCACAGCGTGACCCAGTTGTCACCTGCAGACAGCCCTGGGGGGACTTTGAGTGACTTGCACCTCATCCCAGCAGGCCCACACGTGTCTCAGGCCATGGAGGTGGACGGGCTGAATGACTGTAGCAAGCAAGGCTATTCCCAGGAAACCAAACGCCTGAAGCGGACCCCAGCTCCAGACTCCCGGGGCCTGGAAATGGAGCATAGGTTCATCGATCAAGTATTGTCCACCTGCCGGAACGTAGAGCAGGCCAGGTTTGCCAATGCATACAGGAAATGGCTGGTTACGTTGAGTCAATGAAAGAGGTGTATTAGTCCTGCAAGGTTCCCCTTTCAGTGCAATATTGCTTTCCTTTCTTCCTTACATAGTTGCATGAACTGTTTGCTATTATGTGTGGTCTTCATCTTTAGGTTAAAAGTCCATAGTAAATCTTTCATTTTATTTATTTTGTTAAGAACTGGCATTCCTTTGGGGATAAAATAACTGTGTAGTTTCTTCCTGCTAAACAGTGAGTCTTAATTTTTTTTTTTTAAGCTTTTCATCCTTTATATTTCTATACGTGAAGCTTCCTCTCATTTTGGTTCTCCTAAGTGGTTCACAGACACATCTACCCACCTCAGTGCAATTGCTGCATAGGCTAGTTTCTTTTTTTTTTTTTAATTAAAAATTCATGTTGTTGTTCAGCTTTAGAATAATACAAGCTCAAAATTACTCATATCTAATTACTGTTTTGAGAATCAAATGGCCAGATAGATGGATTTGTGAAAATATAAATCATTTCTCTTTCTCGACTCAAGTTATTGACGAATGTAACCAAAGTCAGAAGTTACTGGAATTTATATAAAAAACATGCTTCCAATGTGTAATCCATTTTAAAATGGTTATTTTAAAAGAAAAATGAATTTTAAGAGTTTATGTAATTACAGGACTGGGAAATTATTTTTATCACTAGTTTTGATAGATTCTTTTTACCTCAAATTTGGTATAGGCCAAAAACACTCAAGTTAGCCCCTATAAACATCATTTGTTGTTTAAACCTGGAATGCCATTTTTAGTTATTACTACTTATTTTCCTTTTAAATTCACCATGAAAAGTGGGGAAAATATGCATGGAAATGTATCCATAAAAATCTTCCTTTTTAAAAATTTTAAGTTCCTGAGGATATACTTAAACTACAGAATGTTTATGAAATGATTATTAAAAGTTTGCTGGTAAATGCCAGAGGAAAGAATAGCTTTTGAAGGTTAGTTCTTCAACCTTTGTTTTAAAAAATAAAACAACTTAAAGACTTTGATATTAAACTTATCAGGGATGAGGTACCAAAGTAGCCACCTCACAGCTGTATCTTATCTTTTTAATAATAAGGGCTGGGTTTTTCAGGTCTGTGAGGCAGGGTGGGAAAAAGGCCTGGTAATGTTTACTTTCTTAATATATTTTCCCCTTTGTAAATGGTCTGTGTTTGTTCTTTCCTCTCCACATACCTTTTCTTTATTTTCCCACTCCATTCCATATTTTTTGACACTTTTACCTTTGTTTTTCTTTAAATGTCTTATTTTGAGGATGTGTACTGAAGATACTCTCCGTCCTCTTTCCAGTGAATTTCATACCCCATTAAACACACACACACACACACACACACACACACACACACACACACACAGTATTAATATGAACTGCCCCTCTAAAAGTTCCCCTAACGATGGAAACTGCCTGTTGTCCTACGTGTGTGCAGAATGTAATAGTGGCCGAAGTAAGTATGACCGCCATACTTTGCTTCTTCTCCTTTTTACTTGCTAGGTCACCTGTAGGGTGAGGGGACAGACATAGGGGAAGGCAGACGTCTCCTGTCTACTATTATGGGAACCCTGGGCTTGAGTGAGGTACATTGCCTTAAGCTTAGGAGAAGCATAAGTTCTTTTTGTGCATCATGATTTTGTTGAGTAGCAAACTGTCAGGTAAGACTTAAGAACACCAGAAAAATTGTTCAGCCCGGTTCTTGTGGACAGAAGCTGCTTTTCTCTCTTGGGGCAAAATTAACCTTTTATAGTTTTTGTAGTATTTAGGTAAGAAAACAATTGTCATTATGAACATAATTCCATGGCCCTTTGTGTACAAAGCGTATTTTGAATCAAATACCTCAAGGTCTGCCTAGACCTCTATGGATAAAACCATTAGTTTGTGATTTTCAGCACCTGTAGGGGATGGTGGGGAAACTACACAGAGAGGACATGAGAGAGTCAGCCCATTCCACTAAATACATGTTGCCAAATCCTGGCCTCACTCAGTATTACCTTTTTTCCACACATCATTCTAAGTGTCCCAGGTAATAGGGCTTCTTATGCTTTGATGTGAGAGTGACAGGGCAGGAGCATAGACAATACCCTGTGAAACATCAGCTCAATTTGATCATGCTCCACGCCTTTTTAGAGCCACCACCTTTGATGTTATCTGTCTTCATGTGTGTTAAGGCCCTTAATCCACCCCTTTAAGAAGCCATGCAGTCCTATAAGATATCTTGGTCTCTTGTCTTCCCCTAATAAAATTTTGAGTAGGGAGTAAAAATACAAATATCTAAAGGATATTTACTGTTTGTGACTTTTGTGTGCTACTTTATTTCTAAAATTTGCATTTTTCAAGTGTTCATTCACAGAAAAACCTAGTATTGACCTGTATGGTTGTGTTTTTTCCTAGATGGTTGACATCTACACTCATTAGCTGTGGTGTGATAATATCTCTTTGACTGAATGAGTTCATGCAGTGGAAAGGTGTGTCTATTTTCAGGGACGTGTTAATCTTTTTTTTTCTATAAATATGTCATTGTCAAAAAGATAGTTTAGATTGACACACATTTCATCAAACTTTCCATTGGAAGAATAGTAGGCCATTGTACTGTCCTGTGGATCAAGAATACTACTGACAAACCAAAAGCAATAAGATCTGTAAATACCTCCACCACCACCTTCTTCCCCCACCCCACCTTTTTTTAAGTATACCTATTTTGGTAATATGATGTTCCCACATTATACTGTCTGCCTTGCACATTGTGAGGACTCATTAAATATTTATCAAATTAATAAATGATTATCTGTTTGAAGAAGGGAAAGATTGATCATGAGTAATGGACAGAATGAGTTATGATTGAGAAATTAATGGATTAGAACAATGGATTGTGAATGAATGATGTAGTCTAGATTCATGATACTTCCGGTGAGCTATTACATAAACAATAAGTTAATTTAGATTTTTTTCTTCATTTAAATACCTTGTTTATTAAACTCGTTAAATACCAGCCAAGAAATGCAGCTCTATAATTATGAATTAACTGTACTTTAAATATATATTAAAAATTCATAGAACAAAGCTCGTTTGCATTAAGAACACTACTTTCGTTCATTTATGATATTGGGAGGACAGATCTTGCCAACAGAGCCAGAAACACTGGGGCATTTGAAGAAATTCTTTGATTTCAAAGACTTTTTGATCTGTATTTGTGCCTGGATAGTCATTTTATGCTTCTCCTTTTCTACTCCCCAGCTTGAACTGTGGACCTTTTTAGGTATTTCTTAAACCTGTGTGAGTCATTTTTTTTTTTAATTTAAGGATTAGTTACCTATTAATGTCCCCTTTTTCTTTACTAGGTTTTAGCATTCTATTACCTCTTTGGAAACCCTGGGCCCAGACTCTCAGTCATATCCCTTATTCCTATGGTACGGTTCTAATTAAATTAAGGACTTCATTATTAATAGGATTAAATCCATACAGGTTGTCACTCAAAGCCATTTAAATCTTCAGGTGAGGGCTTATGTGACACAAGTTAGGAAAACAAAAGTTCCTGGACTTTTCTGTGGCAGTTTGTAGGAAAGCATATATGGTGGTAGACTTTGTGTGATTTCCACGTATTCAGGTCATGTCAATTCATGCTTATTATATAATAAGCTTTTATATAAGAACTTTTAATACTGTTGAGAACAAATTAACAGTAGTAATTTTCTGTAGCACAAGATGGTATCTGGCATAGGCTAAATATAATTTAGGAGTACAACTGCCTCTTGCTGTACAACAGTGTAATCTTTTGGTCCCTCTTAATTATAGAAGATACTAAAGATTTAGTTAAAAAAGGAAGTAACATATATTCTCTTTTTTTTTGCAGAAAGTTTTTGTAAGCTTACAGTTATTTTGTTACTAGAAAATTATATTTTAGAACTTTAAAGTATTTAAAATATTCTAGAAAATGTAAACAGCATTATTAACAACGTGTGTCTTCTGAATAAATGTCTCAAACAGAACCGTGCAGACCCTGGTACTTGGCGCGCTGCCGCCTCCCTATGCCTACACATACTCTCGGTGTACTCCTGTTGAATGGAGGTGTACATGGAGTCACAGGAAGGCAGAGACAAATTCAGTGGCAGGAAGGCAGTGGGCAGGAAAAAAATCAACCCTGAAAATTCTACTTGTCACACAATGTCTTTTAAAAAATAGTTAAACATACTGTGTTAATTTGAGTGCCTTTCTTCTTTCTGGAGGGAACAAGATCATATTTAATGTTTAGGTAGAAAACAAAGGATGGAAGTTTTATCAAACAGTTGATTGTAATTCATTGTATTGATTCCAGTTGCTAGGCATGGTCCCATGGAGTTTGTATCCTTTCATGAGATACTGATATGAGCAGGTAGGATGCTTTGGTTTGTATTTCTTAGCATTTTTAAGCACCCTACCAAGAATTCGTTCTTTCCCTGTGGCAACTAACTTTTTGGGGGTCGGAGGCATTGTATTTTAGAGGAGAGCATGTGTATAATTGAAGATGAGCCTGAAGCCTGGGCAGCCCAAGGTCAAGGGCAACAGTGGCACTGTGCCCTACAAGAAAGGCCCAATGATTGTTCTAAATGAATCCTTTGCCTCACTTTAGGGACTTTTAAGAATTCCCTCCCAAATTCCATTTTGGAGGAAAAGAAGTAAATATTGAGATGAAACTTAAAATGTGGCATGTTATATATTTGGGTTATGGAGAAGGGAGGGACAGAAAGTCCCTATTTCAGGATAGCAAATAACTTGTAATTTCATAAAAATATACAGCTAAAGATTCCAAAGTGCTTTTCAGAGGACTGTTGAATAATATATTCCTAAACGGCAGCAATATGTCATAGTTCATAGTGGAGACAGGAAACCATTGTAGTAGATCTGGGGTGTGTGTGTGTGTGTGTGTGTGTGTGTGTGTGTGTGTGTGTGTGTG